TTTTCGTCCTCCCCGAACATACTAACCTTGACGTTCGCTGCAACACTACTACTTACAGATTACGGACTCCACGAAATAAAGAAGACCGGCATCTCTACATCATCTTGAAGCCAACAACAACCAAGAAGTTAACAACAGGTGGTGCATGGTACGTGTTGACATCCGCCGTTGTTACTAGCTTGTGTTGTTCGTGACTTGACTTAAATGATTCATTCGACTAACTCACTTGTCCTATCTGTGTTATTCCATCCTCGTGACTTAATCATCGTGACTGCATATAAATCTCACACGTTTTGTCTTTATGTGCTGGGAGCCGGCCAACCCATGTGCGTCGCCAGGTTCTGGAAAAGTCGGGTTGGAAGGGTTGGGTTCAATGATAATTTGGGTTGCAAGATTTCAAAGCAGACGTAATGCACGGTATGTAGGCGTATCAATGCGCAAAAGTATCTTTTGTGTCAATCTGATACCGATACCCTATCCAATTCCGAATTGGGCAAAAGCCAGATGAAATCTACAGGCCCTGTACAAGCAAGCAACTACTCGAGTGGCTTCCGCTTCAGATCTGTTTCTTATTACGTGTGCAGAGTGGGCCAACTCAGACGCTCGACAGCTCTATTAGCCCGAATGGCGCGCCCAGCGCCTCTCTCAATAATACAATAAGCGGGCCTCAAATAGATCGTAAGTCCAAGGAGCGACCTGCCAAGCGCCAGAGACACAGTTACATGTAGTTGAAGGTGAGACTCCAGAAAATCTTCCTCATCTTTACTTCACGACTGACTCCAGGACCCATCCCTGGACCCATCCCTGGACCACCCCCAGACCGATTGTGGGGCCTGGTGCCCCTTCTGGAGAGAACATCCAGTCCTCACTCTTAGACCACCACCAGGTCCCAGCTCCTTCGCCAAACAACAATAGCTAGGACCCGCCCCCAGACTAATTTGCCTGGCCTTCCCCTGGCTCCACTCGCGGACCAACACCAGCCAAAGTCCAACTCCAGCACCAATCGACTACTATGCATTTCAATTGCCACCCTTAGGTGCCTTGCTCTGCACTATTGATAGGGGAATATCTAAAATCTACGAGTAGCTCTGTGATCTGTGATGCAGAGGAGAGAAGAGTGGGGCCGAGTTGAGGCGAGTTGAGTTGAGGCGAGTCGAGTCGTGTCTCTGGCTGCGGTGCAATGGAGTACGGTACTTTTTACGGTAGCGGTACAGTATGCTCAGCAACCACCATACACGTACCGCTACAAGTACTCCGACATTATTTCTCAAGAGGTCCAACCTCAAGTGCCTTCTTCGCGAACGGCTACTTGTAGATGTAATAATATTATAAAGATTTCACGGGTGTCAAGGATGATGGTCAAAGATCGCTCAACACGGCCTTGCTCACTTGAGGAAAGAAGCCACCCCCGATGCGCATTTGGAACAACACCAGGCGCCACTCCTCACTGCTCCTTTGCACATTCACTCGGCCCTTTGCCAGACTAGTTAGTTGTATGTAGAGGCATGCCAGAATCAACACCAAGGCCATCATCGGGACCAACCCCTCTATCTAGACCTACACCCAACCCTGGACCCACAGAATAGTCTCCGCCCCATTCCCCGCTCCAAGACTGACTCCAGGACCCCCCACTGGCAGGACCCGCCCCCATACCATTAACCCAATGAACTCAGGAGCAGCTCGCCCGATATCTCTTGGGAGAGCTGTCACGCTGTCACACCTATGAATACTTGTATCGCATGTACCGGTACCCAAAGACCACCTCATTAGTTAGAGTTCCCCTTTTGCACCAGTTGAGCTACTAGTAGTAGTATTCACGCGGTCGCCTCTGTCAATTATTGGAAAGGTACGGCACTGGTACCGGTGCCGTGGTACTGGTATTACGGTACTCGTACAGTCTTGATGATACTGTAGTTGGACCCAATGTGGGATGACTCGACTCGACTCAGACTCGGTGGTTCTGACCGGTACCAGGTACTGAGTGTCACACAACACAAAATTTTGGGCCCGAGCAGTTTTGGAAACGCGTCAGCGATTTTTGATGTTTCAATTTGACTTAATCCTTTGATTCGTGCAACAATTATAAATTAAATCCTTTTGTACTCCACTTTCAGATGCCAACAAACAGGCTTGGTGCTGCTGACTCCTGATTGTGAAAGTGGCGGCGGGGCTGGGCTGTAGGAACCTCATTGCAGCGCTGCAAGCGAACACACCCTTGCTTAGCTGTTTGTTATCCTTGGAACTTGCTAGAACTTGGAAGTGGAGTGTCGAGGCGAGTCAAGCCAGAGAAGTGGACGTAAAAGGCACCAGTAGCCAATCTATCTGTATGCAATGACGAGCATGAAGAAGCGGAAATCTCCTTTCTGGAAGGACGATCCCGGTGGCTCTTGCCCCGTCGAGACGCCATCCTCCCACTGCCACCGCCAGAACCTGGCACATCATCCCTTGTCTCCCTCGTCGCCTCCTCTGTTGTCGCCCTGTCTTGCGTATTCTCCTCCTCCATCTCCTCATTCCACGTCTTTGGCGAATCATATTCATATTCACCGTCGACACGCTACAATGCGGTACCGCCGAAAATTCCATTCGGGCATTCTTGTCCCGCTGCTCCTGTGGCTCGTGTCGTCCGCTTCCTGCTCGCCCTCTGCCACAACAACAACAACATTCAGTACCAGTGTACTCCATACGGAATCTCCCAGTCCCAAAGAAATTTCCTCTCATGGCAGACTGCGCCGAAGAACCTCCTCCGTCCTTCGGGGCTATGACGACAATAGCCACGTCTTTCAAAGTGGAAGCCACATTGCCGACGATCCAAGAATTGTTCGACCAGGGATTGCGGAATCGGATGGTGAATCCAACAACGACAATCAAACATACAATGCTGCTTTACAAGATGACGGCTACAACAATCAAACGACCACGGATCCACAACAGGGGGACAGCAACAACAACAACAACCACACGACCACACAATGGGGGACACGCGACGGGTACGACCAACCGGGAGGGACAGGGGCGATTTGCTGGAAGACCGATTCGTCGTTCAATGGTGGTGACTCTACACCACAAGTGCTGCCCAGTTGTGGTCCCAACAATCGACTGTGGATGGATCCTCCACTGCTGGAACAACAAAAGGGACAAGAACGATTGTGGATTGATGAAACCTATCGATACATTGTCCACTTGAACCTAAACCTGACCGAAATGGTGGCAACTAGTGGCAACAATGAGCTGATAGTAGTGCAATCCATGGCTCTACAGATCCTCTTTTGCCGTGTCGGGCAAGTCAGCTTTTGTTCTCCCTTTGTGCCCGAACAACTCGGGGCTCTTTCCGATGATGCACAACAACAACAACATCAAAAACCCTACGAGGAGTCTCACTGGATCCACATTCCCGTGACGCCAAATTCTACACAACAAGAACATCTCCTCCAGGAAACCTTCTCCATTCCAACAGTGGTCCATCAGCCTGGATCTTACTTTGTCCTTGCCAAACTGAGGATTGCGACAACAAACAATGACGGGAGCAGTAGTACATCATCTGCCATTCAATGGGACATGGCCAATGGACTGCCACCCAACAGCGACATTGCCAATGATCCGTACTATACACGTGGACGTGTCGTGCAGTACTGGCATTTGCCCAAAATTATGGACGTGTCACGAGGTGTGCTCATCTTGTCCTATGTGGCCGTATCCATTGCTTCGGTCGTCCTGCTGTTTTTGATTCTACAAACAGTGAAGCATCGCAAAAATCAAGTCCTCCATCTGTCGCAAGCCGGATTCATCCACTTGTTCCTCGTAGCGGCATTGTGGGCCACCATTAGCACCATCTTGCTCCAACCCAAGAATGATGTGTACTGTCAAATGTCCAGCTCCATGATTCTCATTCCCATTCAACTCATGTACTCCATCACCATTGGACGGCTCTGGAGAATCAATGCCGTCATTAGTCCACTCCTGGTGGAACACTTTCGAAAGAATTTGTCCTCGCAACAACGATGGACGGGCAAACTCGTGAGTTGGGTTCATCGACGAGGCACTGGATCTTCCGGTCGAAATGTGCAATTGCGGCGCACCGTCACACCGCGCAAACTGGCATGGGTCATTTCCATGTTTGCCGTGCCGCAAATTGTCTTGCAGCTCTGTGCGGTACTGATCCAACCACGAGAACGAATGGTGCAATTCACTCCAGATGGCATGACGGGTGTCGCCACGTGTGGGAATTATGGTTTGGATCCCGCAGCGTCCATTCTCAACTATGCCTACGCGACGTTGGCAATGCTGCTACTACTGTTGCTCGTCATGGCGTATAGTTGTCGGAAACTGCCGTCTCTGTTCAATGAAACGCACGTCATTTACAACATTATATTTCGCACATTTGTATTTATTCTGTTTGGGGTTGTGGTGGTGGTGGTCTTGCAGGCACAACAAAACTCGGTCGTCGCACCCGACGTGATGTATTTGCTATGGGTGGCGGTGATTCTCTACATCACGCTGGCGTCCTCACTCGGGTTGGTCATACCCAAGTTGAAAATGATTTGGAATGGAGAGGTCGTTATTGTTTCCAAGTTGGTCAGCGATCATCACAGGGCACGACGAGAAAAAAAGGCAGCTCGCGCCAGTGCCACGCACTCGAATGGAATGGGAAATGTGACTGGCCTTGACTTGTCGAATTCACACTCGAATTCGAATACGGACTCGTACTTGAACGGAAGTTTCAACACGGAGGCGTATCTCAACGGCTCGATCCCCAACTCGTTCGGGGGGTCCTTCACTGGCAGTAGTGGCGTTGCCAGCCCAGCAGAATTATTGAGCACTAGCATTCACAGCGAAGACGGAACAAAGGAAAGACCCAAACTCTCCGAAATCCGTGAGAACTCGGGTGTCGCATCATGCCCCAGAACAATGTCAACCCACAGTGACTCCAGTCGTTGGTTGCCAATGGCTTCGGAAGATGCGGCAGACTATGACGACGAAGATGACGGCGACCTGGGTGATCTGGAGGATGGTTTCCCCGTCGAAGGAGAGGAGGACGCCCCTCCTAGACCACGCATCTCACCGCCGCAATTTGGTGAATGGCGGAATCGTATGAAGAATCTCCGGGACAAGTGGCACTCTAGGTCCATGTCCTCCCTTGTTGCCTCCGGGGAGCTAAGACCAAACTCCCGGCCGTCCTCAGAAATCCTCCCTGCAATCTCTAGCGCAACGGACGATCTGGATGAGCCAGCTGAAGATGTAGAAGAGGCAGAACTAGTGACACAATCCGAGCATGTCCTGAGCCAGGACACCACACGGCTTTCAACGTCGTCCCGAAGAAAGGAATATCGCAGAAAGAAACAAAAGTCGAGGCGGCGAAAAAGCAGCATCATGATAGTCAGTCCCAACGAGACACCGCCTCGACGATTGGTACTAAAAATGATGGATCAACATGACTGTTTGACGTCCGTCACTACAAAGATCATGTCTGGGTTGTCAGTCCGGCCGGAAGAGTGGGATAAGCTTTTGCGTCTGCACACCATCCTCGAGAAATGCCTGCAGGAGGAAGTGAACTTTACATGGCGCAAAGAGATCCCCATTCCTGAGGCCCAGCCGTCACCAACCTTTGATCGAGGCGTTTCAAGTCGATCGTTGAAGTTGAGTGATTTGGAAGACAAGCTACCAGAAGAAACTGACGATCCTAGTGATGCCGGGAATAGTCGCGACAACACGCTGCGACGGGGGAATACGCACACAGGTCCATTGAAAAAGCCGAAGAATCTGTCTGACATCGCTAGGGAATTCAAACGCGTTGTCGACTGCCGCGATCGGAAGTGGGGCTTGGGTACTGTTTATAAGCAGTGCTTCATTGCCTCAGATGCTGTCGATGCCTTGATCTATGCTGGAGTAGCGGATTCAAGGGAAGAAGCGGTTGCCATTGGGCAACGTCTTGCTGAAGAGAAGCATCTTTTCAGACATGTAACTGGCGATCACTCCTTCAGCGATCGGTACCTGTTCTTTGAATACTTCTCAGACAATGACAGTGTGTGCTCCAGTGATGGGGATGATGACGATGAAGGGATGGAAACAAATATCATGCATCTGTCTGATATCAATGAAACAACTGGACCCGCCGCTGAAGTCCGAGCTTTTCGGGAAGCCATTTGCGTGCGTGATAGGCGATATCACCTCAAACTGGTATGTGCTGATAGCTCGAAAGCGGGCAGGAAGTGGAGGAGATCCTTTCTTCCAAGATGATGAGAAATGCTCAAATTGTTTGCCTTTTCGTTTCTTGCAGTACCCAAAAGTCTTTGTGGGTTGTGGTAGGTGCAGAAAGAGATAGATAGAGAGACTTCCACAGAAAAGTCATGGACGGAATCGTTTTTTGCGGGATGGAAATGCTAACATACGTTGTCGACTTGCTTCTTTTGCAGAGGCTGTGGACTCGCTCATTTATCATGGGGTGGCCAAGTCACGTTGGGAGGCCGTTCAGTTGGGAAGGCGACTTGCCAGGGAGCACAAACTCTTCAAGCATGTGTGTCAGGATCATGAAGTATGTTGTAGGGTCTTTCTGCAAGACGTCTGTGTTGTGGTTTGTTTGCAAAGCTAACAGATGATGTTGTCTCTCTTTTTCAGTTTCGTGATGAGCATCTCTTCTATAGATTTTCAGAACTCGACGAAAATGGCGTGGAAAGCAGCCTTGGAAGTGCCATGTCAGATTCTGCACGTATATCCAGGCAACCGCGGAGCCAAATTGCCGAGCTAGCAGACGCGTTTGAGATGTATGTCGATATTAGAGATCGATGGTATCGGACAAAGAAGTACCGGAGTTGTTTCATAGGTGTGTAATGTGTGGTGTGATTGGAAGCCGGTGGGTGACCTTCTACTAACTTGTGCACCTGGCGTCTTATCAGGGTCGGAGGCTGTGGATGCCATGATGTATGCGGTGAGACCAGCCAAGCAGAAAAGTTTATTAAAAGGGGGTTGCTAGTATGTCTCAGATATGAAACTCATGAATGTTATTGGTTTGTTGCAACTAGGGTTTGGCAGACTCTCGCGAAGCGGCTGTGGCACTGGGACGACGGCTCGAAAAGGAGCTTCGTTTGTTCCAGCACGTTTGCCAGGACCATCACTTTAAGGACGCTTATCTGTTCTACAGTTTGCGCCGTGGTGGCACCGCAGGAAGTCTAGGGACGAGCAGCGGCACGGGGGGCCGTAGCCGAAGCGCACATTCAGATAATGAAAGCGCTGGCGGCTCTAGTGGTCAAGACAAGTTCCAGGCTAGCATGAGTTCTAGCTCTCAGGGTGAGAAGCAAACAAAACTCAGTCACATGCAGGAGAAGGCACATGCCTTCCGGCAGTGCGCTGTAATCACCACTGGTGCTTGGAGGTATCGGCAGTATCCGAATGTATTTATAGGGTGCGACACCGTTGATCGCATGGTCTGGACTGGCCTTGCTAAAGACCGCGCGGAGGCGGTGCAGATCGGAAGGGCTTTGGCACGAGAGTTGCGGTTGTTTCGTCACGTCGCTGATGACCATGGTGAGGGACTTCGCAACGGAACCAGATATATCAGCATTCAAGAGCCTCGGCGTAGCTCACGTCAGTCTTCTTCTCTCTTTGTCATCTTGCGGTCTCCAATGCAGCCTTTTGTGATAGGTAAGTGACGGACGCGCATCCACACCTAGTCCACTGCTCGAAGCTTGAACGCTGACCAGCAATTTCCGTTCTAGATATTTATTCTACCGATTCCGAACAGACGATGACTCGAGCAGTGCAGCCAGCCTCAGCACGTTCTCTAGGAACTCGAATGTTCCCAGAAGTATTCAAGGTGGAGGGGAGACCTTAAACTCCCAAAGCAATAACAACAGTCTTGGAACCCTTCAAAGCGGTCGCAGTGGGCTAGCAGACAAGGCAGAAGTCTTCAGGAGCTTGGCCGACGTCGCTGATCGGAAGTATCGACTGAGAAATTACGCCGCATGCTTTGTGGGTGGCCAAGTGGTCGATGCACTGCTTCAGAGGGGCGTTGTGACAACAAGGGAAGAAGCTGTGGAGTACGGCCGAAGCTTAGAGAAGGAGCTTCGCTTGTTTCAGCATGTTTGCGGGGCGCATCCTTTTTCGGACGATTACTTGTTTTATCGCTTCCGTGACATGGGATTCCAGGATGGTGTAGACGTTTTGGGTACCAGCCTCCACTCAGCAAACGAGTTGAGCGTCAGCAGCACGGTTGGATTTGATACGAGCAGAGCTGAACTGGAGGCCGATGCTATGGAGTTCATGGGGGGTCCCGCTGGTCGTGGGTATGGACTGGCAGTATTGGACGAGAATACCGAGCTTGATGCCGAGACAGGCCACACCCGCGCTTACTCCAGTGCGGCGGAAAGCAACGATGACGATGAGCTTCCAGAGTTGGTCCACTATCGTGACGTTGACAATTCACACCTCGAGCAAACGGACTCACAGGTGACGAGAAGTTCGGAAGAGACACCCACGCACGCGCATCAACCAGTTGAGTATCTTCCTCCTACCGACTGCCCTCTGACAATGGTTGGCTCGGAGAGAAACGGTGTGGAAACGAGATCTGGAGATACCGCGCAACCCGACCCAACCAGTGACTTGGTGGTTTAGATTGGCGCTTCCTTCGGCCCGTACTGGGTGACTTGGCGAGAAATCTGGACCAAGGAGAAAAAAGGGCCATCAAAGCTGCAGCTGTCACTATCTATTTTGCAGCTGGTTGTGTATGCACCGGTGCCGTATCTTGCTTGGGCGCTTTGAGGGTGTCCAGCGAAAGCAAGAGTCGAGTCGTCAACCGGATAATCAAAACAGTAGGAGTGTTTAGCTAAAGCAGTAGTCATCAGCCGAACACAATGCACAACCTCAACAGCCACGGACATCAGTGTTCCACTAGCCAGCACAGTAGGCCAATTTCCGGCGAGAAGCTCCTACTATCAGTCATCAATCCATGCGTGAAGGCATTGGGAAGAAAGCTCTGATGAACGTCTGCCGTGCGAGTGCTCGAAAGGCAGATACCAATAGATTGATTTTGCATTGGTGATGCGCCGGTTTTTGCCGCCCACAGCTCCTACCGGTACCGGTACTGGTACCGGTTTTGGTGCCGATTGTGGCATAGGAGGGCAGCCGGAGCGGAGCCTGATGCTGGTGGTAGATTTCGCCTTTGCTCGTGCTACTCGTGCGGTAGTCGGTAGTCTACTCTTTCGAACAATGTACCACCGTAACTTTCCAAGTTTACCCTTCTGGTTTCTTTCTCCGTTTCCAGCACGGTACATGTACTGTACCGGTAGCTTACTCGGAGCAGATGACACCGGTAAAGATTGTAGTGCAGAAGTTTATCCGACGACGAAGAGAACCAGAAATTCTTCCAATCGCAAAGCGTTTTGGTTGGCCACCTGGCTTGGACTTAGGGGCTTCTTGATTGACTGGAGAAGACCATCCTCATCTCCTCATCACCCCAGCAAGATTTCCGTAGAAAAGTTCTCGCATTTATTCAAGCACTCTGCCATCATAGCTACCACACAGTGTAGTGGGCTCTATCTGTGCATAAGCAGCGAACTACGGTATTCTCACAAAAACTTCAATTGTGGGTCGAAGAATCTGATCAGCATTGAAAGAGTACTAGTAGTCTACCCACAACCAACATGAGCTTACCAGAGACATTTGATCCAAGCACCATGATGGAGCTCACATGCAGAGCAGTGTCTTTGTTGATGCAGGGGAGATATGAGGAGTCACAGGCCTTGCTGCACGTAGCCTTGCGAAATCTTATGAGCGTTGCCTCCCCCGAGGTAACAAATGAACGTCCACAAGCCTTCATGGCAGGCGAATCACTCTACTTTGAAAGCTTCATAATTCCTTTCAATAACGCTACCGGGACCAGCTCTGAAGCGTTTGATGTGTTCAATCGAGCTCTCGTGATCCGCCCGGGTGGCAACCCAGCTGCCGCCATTGCTGGATGCCCTCATTTGCTCGAGAGACTAGCAACCGTGCTTCTCTATAACTTGGCACTTTCTCTGCATTTAAGAGCACTGGAAACTGGAAGTAGTAAGAATCTTCGCATGGCCCTGCACATCTACCAACGTGCCATGGCCTTGTTGGTGAATGTGAATACCGGTGCTGTCGACGATGACAGCATTGTGGCGTTGGCGTTGCTGAACAACATGGGCCACATCCACGAGGCATCCTTTTCCTGTCACAAGGAAGCGTCCACTTGTTTGAGCTTGCTCCGACAGATCTTTGAAGGAATTGATTCCAGCCACGCCCTCCGAGATGACGAGTCTCTCTTCTTCTACTTGACTCTCTTTTTGTACCCGTCTTACCAAAAAGGTATGGCCGCTGCAGCTTAGACGGACGTACCGGTACCGGGTGTCTTGAACACGAAAACGTCGACAATACTGCACATTCGACTCTTCATGAAAGTAATTAATTCTGACTAGAGGATCTTTACAAAACTCTATAGCATATAATGCAAATAAACGTTTCTCACTTTCATGTCCTCCACTCCGGTTTTGTATCACTGATGTCTCTAGCTAGGAGTCTGTTGATATGCGTACCATCCTACATCCCAGTTCCCAGTCTACACGTACCGGTAGCAATGGCTGTCAAGAAGATGGCGATACGAGATCTGAACACTACAAAAGTCCTCTTCCGTGCTTGCTTGACAGCGGAGAGCTGCTGCTGCTTTCTGACATCCCCATGTACCTGAAAAAGTTACGTTTCCATTGCAGAGCGAGGAAGAGCTGAGGAAGTGACTCCATCATCGGTAGATTTGCAACCAAAACTTCTCCGCGTGATTGGGGCTGCTGAGCAACGTGCTGTTGGCTGGGCATCTGCACTTGGGCACCACCACTAACGCCTGCGGTAGCTGAAGATGATGATGATCTTGTGTATGATGACGATGTGGGGGGGTTGCCCACTTCTGTGCTTCGATTCGATTCAATCATTAGGATTCCATGCAATTCTTGCTGGATAAGACTGTCATCAACAGTCATTTCCTGTGTTACAGTACTGGCTAGCTAACTGCTAACTACTACATCTAGCTAGCATGTAGCATGTAGCTACTCCTTGTTTTAACTTAGCCAAAACCGGATTCTTGCATAAGACTGTTGTTTGATTGCTACCACCACTCTTGAGTATGATGGCTTCATTGGTAGAAACAAACAAATACTAAATAGAGCTAAGCTAGGCAGAGCAGTGGCTGCGGTGGTGGGTGGCTGCGGTGGGCGGGGGCGTACAGTACTAGTGCGGCGAGAGCGGGTCAAACAATTTGGGTTGCTGCCATCCACTCCGGGAATTATTGCGAACTCTTGATGTTCAATGTACCGGTACGAGTGTTCCCAATCCCTTCCATTTCATTGGCTGTCACGATTTCAGTTTTCGCAGACACCCCTGCTGTAGATGGCATATCTCCATGTAGTTCCGGTAGTTTCAAATAGATTCTAATTTTGGTACATCGTACGTGTAACTGGAACATGTAATTCACTTGTTTTACTAGTTACTAGTACCACATCTACCTGATTTCAAACAATGTCGTTTGTGGTTCAGGATTAGGAACTACAAAGTGGACCGTTACGTGTACCGGCAGGTGTACGTCTCTCACGGGGAATGCCGAGTGAATCGACCGATTCTACATGTATTCTGCCCTTCAGGCAATGAATCACGAGCTTAGTATCGTGAGTGAATTAGTTTGTGAATATTTGATACCCGTAGTTTGTACTCTGAAAGCATGCACCTGGACAAAGTATCATGGTCTGTGATGCCAACAAAAATGCGTTGTAGCATCCTCTTTTGCGACAGATTGTCGCAAAAACGGGGGTGGGAAGAGAGCTTTCTACGTGCGGATGGTGTTCTGGGGCAACGGCTACTGTAGCCTGTGATTAAAGGCTCCATTGGTCCGCAGATCCGCAGTCCTTTCGGTTGCTTGTTGTTTGTTTCTTGGTTGGCGGTTTGCGACGTTGCGACCCATAAAACTGACAATCTCACAACGCCAAAGATCCTGTGGCATCAACACAAATTAGCAACATCACTTGTGCTACCATGACCAACACAGCAGGTCGACAGCCTTTTGCCATTACTGCTTACAACGACGAGGCTGTTCGTCTTTTACAGCTTGGGGATCTGAAGGGGTCTCATTCACTCCTTCAAGTCGTTCTTGGTTTGGTCCGAGATGTCACCGCTGAACGGTATGATGACGAGCTAGGCGCTGAAGCCATGCAGAATGAGATGAAGGATTGCCTCAGGAGTAGCCCTGTCCCATGGATTGATGTTCAGCCCATCAATGAGGGCATGTTTTCTGTCTGCAACCGTGCATTCCTGATCCCAAATGACACACTGGACGACGTTGGTGCTGCGGCGCCAACCGACGGTGTCAGGGCAGCCCCTACTATCAAGGATCACCGTTTTCCCGATGTCACGGCGGTCCTATGTATAACGTTGCTTTGGTTTATCATTTGAAGGCGATGGAGACTGGGTCCCCAGGCCGGAGGCTCTGGAAGCGGGCGCTGTCAGTTTACGAAGTGGCGGCAACCATGTTTCTGACGGAAGAATCCTAGAAGGACGAACACAGTGCTGCCTTGAAGATGGCGCTGTTGAACAACATTTGGTCACATTCACGAGCTCATGGCAGCAGAAAACAAAGAAGCTGCTCGTTGCCACCATTCTATGGTACATCTACTCGAGTCCACTGGATTGGATGATGAAGAAGTCGAAAACTTCTCTTCCGTAGTGTCTTTCCTCTTTGTCTTCCCTGAATGGCGCACCCCACCTGCACGTGCTGCCTAAAACCGAGCAACCTTCTTCCTTGCCATTCAAACAGAGCAGGAAGCAAATCAATTCAATGCATTTTTATTTTACTTTCAAGCATTACAAACGTTGTTGACCCGAGTGCACCAGAAGCTAGTTTCTTGGTTGTCACGGAGGATGTCAAGCAAGAAGCAAGAGTTGAGTTTTGGCTTGGTTTGTCAAAGCTAGTTTGGTTGGAGAGTAGCAACACAGCGCTAATTTGAATCTTTTGCTTACTACTACATCCGCATCTCTTCATCAAAGTCTACTAGTCTAGCTACTCGTAGCTCCCGCTGTTCATTCGTTCCACTACATTGGCGCGGTTGATCCCTGTGGTGATTTCAACGGGAGCACCTGACCCCGCATGCATGAACGTGATTGTTCTATTTAAGTCAGCGGAAGCTGCGATACCTCGGCAGAAAGACAGATAGAAGAAGGAGGATTATGGTCGGATTGCACCCATCTTTCAAGCTAGCCCTGGCGACAACACCCGACTACGTCGTGTGTTGCCGCCCGGCATCATTCATTCCCTCATTGCAACCTTCTTTTTATTAAGCTAGCCCTGGCGACAACACCCGACTACGTCGTGTGTTGCCGCCCGCTACTCTATAATTTACCAGCTGCCATTCCCTTATTGTAACTCTAACATTTACAGCTCCTGCTGGCTTATTGTGCTGTTGTGATGATTGCACTAACCTTAAATATTAATGATTTATTCCTACCCCTAACTTGTATTGAACCATCAATGTTCACTTTTGTTGGCTTATGACTATCTCTATCCTTATACTTTGGCTTCACCGGAATAGGAAATAGGAAATAGGAAATTCGGTTTTTTTTCAGCGTTCGTCTCCAGATTCGTTGGCTTATGACAGGTTGCCGTGTTTCTGTAACAGTGACGGCACCGTTACCGGCACCGTTACCGGTACCGTAACGGGTACCGTAATGGGACAAACATACAAAAGGATTCAGATCAAGAAATGGGATTTACTCGGATACACGGAATGATACATTCATAAAAATTTAGCAATAAACATCGTAACAAATTACAAAACACAAACTTGTCGTCACTTGCTACGTACAAACTCACGAATTCGTCGTCCTCCTTGTAGCCTCATCGATAATGTACGCCTTCCAACAATACCATACTC